AATTATGGAAAAAAAATTGTGCAGAAAATCCACTTGATCCTAATAAGACCAAGTATTGGATGAAGGCTTCTATCAAATTGATAGATCCTAAAACTGAAATTGCGGTGAAAGGAATAAGCTATACACCCAAAGATAGAGAAGAACTTAATCAACAAGTTCAAGAAATGCTTGACATGAACGTCATCATTCCTAGTAAGTCTCTTCATAGATCACCAACAGTTTTAGTAGATAAAAAAGGAACTTTAAAACAAAGAATTGTTATTGATTATAGAGAAGTTAATAAGAAAACAATTGGCGATGGTCATAATTTACCAAATAAAGATAAACTATTATCTTTATTAAAGGAAAAAAAAATATTTACATCTTTTGATTGTAAATTAGGTTTTTGGCAAGTCCTTTTAGACAAGGAATCCCAATTACTAACCGCTTTACATGCCCACTAGGACATTACCAGTTTGTGGTAGTACCTTTTGGTTTAAAACAAGCACCATCAATTTTTCACAGGCATATGAATAAGCATTCAGAAAGTTCGAAAAATTTTGTTGTGTATATGTTGATGACATTCTCATCTTCAGTGACACAGAACAAGAGCACTCTATGCATGTTGCAATAGTTTTGAAAGAGTGTGACAAATTAGGAATAATCTTGTCTGAAAAGAAAACTCAATTATTTAAAACTAGAATTGAATTTTTAGGATTAACAATTGAAGAAGGTTTTCACAAACCTCAAAATCATATTTTGGAAAGCACTATCTAAAGAAAAAGAGTAGATCTGTCGATATGCCTCAGGAAGTTTTAATGCTGCTGAGAAGAATTATCACTCAAATGAAAAGGAATATCTTGCGGTAATAAAAACCATAAAGAAATTCACAATTTATCTTACTCCTTATAGATTTATCATTAGGACAGATAACAAAAACTTCACTTATTTCTTAAAAACCAAGATGAAAGGTGATAGTAAACAAAGGTAGACTTGTATGATGGCAAATGTGGCTTAATCAATATGAATTTGATGTGCAGCATATTGCATGAAACAAGAATGTCCTCGCAGACTTTTTATCTCGGGAATTTAACGACCTTTGATAAAATGTTTGCAATATTAAGGCTCAACGGAGCACATAACCAGTCACAAGCGGTGACAATAGGGAGTTGCTTCCCAGGAATGATTTATGCTTGATAAAGCATCATCTATAATTGATGAATTACAACAACTTCAGTTGCAAGAAGGACTTCTGGTCCAAGAACTTGAATTGGTTCGTACAAAAATCAAGTATG